GGTGATAACATTGCTTGAAAACATTCCTCAGGCATTTTCTTGAGGTATTTCTCCATGCTTGTTTGACAGCAAAGAGAGATAGTGTAGGAGGCTTTTGGAAGCTAGCTCCCAAGTACTGTGTCTGTGGTAGAGCAGATCATATGTCTACAGAAGAGCATGGAATCATCCTATTAGGTCCTCCACACTGCTTTCTTTGGGCTCCATCTGACACCCCCATTGAACCTATATTACAAAAAGCCAGTGCTGATCCTCAGTCAATGAAAGCTGTCATACTGACATGTAACATTCTGATTGCATGTGGGAGAAATGTTATATATATATATATATATATATATATAGGTGTGTGTGTATATATCTATCTATCTATATATATATACACACGCACACACACATATATTGTGGTGCTGATCGTTTTTTGTGAAAAAATGGACATGTTTGCCCCAAAGCCCATCATATTGCAGCTTCCCTTCTGTGACATTCATAATATCTGTTTTATTCAGTGGCCATTATGCATATAGACAATCCAACATGGTTCCACCGTGGATATTGGACCAAAGCTTCAAAAAACCGAAGCTGATCTTTATTAATAGTTAACAAAATTAGGAAGTTTATAAAAGCTAAAGTTAGTGTTTTTCCCATTTGTTTTGTATTGCACATCAGAAGAATGAAAGTTATCTGCAATGATGGGCAACACAAATGTTTCTCCCCCCGGGGTATTCAAGATTAAAACCAAGTCTGTATTTTTGGTCCGAATAAAGTGTCCTGCACTGCAGAGTTGTCCAGTTCTGTTATGGTGTGTCCAGTGAAAGAACTCAATATATATATACTGTATATCTCTCCAGTTCTGTGATTTATACTGAAATGTGTAAGTAAGTGGATTCTTTATAGCAATAGCACCCACCAGCTTTGTTCTGTTGTTTCTACAGTCTCTGTGCATTCTGGGAATGTCTGACATTTGCCCAGCGCCCTATGTACTCTTGTTCACTGAAATAACAAACTGCCTATTTTAAAGTTTGTTTTATGTCATTGTTATCTTTTTTTTTTTTTCTAATAAAATTGTCCTTTAATTTACAGTGGCAAACTCATCTTGTTGCTTTATCTGTGAACATGTCTGGAATGATGACAGGCAAGTAGAAAAAAAGATTTCAAACAGAACTCCGGGGAAAAAATGTCCTTAACCCTTGCAGTGGGGCTACTACCGTACTACAAGGATTAAATGCTTGTTTTCATCTAAAGTTAGTTGCCCCAACTGCGGAGCCAGCTGGCTGCTACTTCGGTCCCTGAAGCCTGTCTACGCCTCCACTGCAGTGATGGTATGTCCCTCGGCATGCTCAATCCTATACACTGTATAGAACGAGTCAAGGATCCTGCAGTGGAGAAAAGAGGCTCCAGGGACTGGTCTAAGAGCAAGCTGGCTACGAGGATCGAGTGAGTATAACTTTATTTTAGCATCTAGATAAAAATAAGCACTTAACCTTTTCAGTGCTGCGGTAGCCCCACTTCAACGGTTAAAGGAGAACTATGGGGATAGGGCTTTTCCCCATAGTTCTCCTAAGGGTAACGGGAGGACACAAACTTGCGTCCTCCCGTCACCCTAAGCTCAGTATACCGCGAGTTACAGCTCACGGTATACTGAGACACCGCAGCTGAAACGGATCCCGACAATTATGTCTGGATCCGCCCAGCCGCGTGAGTGACAGCTGGCTCTGCCTATCTAGAGGCAGAGCCAGCTGTACCCGCCCCCTCCCCCGTCCGTTCCACCAGTCAGCGCTGGCGGGGGGGGGAATCCAGCCCCTCCCCTGTCACGGCTCTCTGCCGTGACAGGATCGAGAAGTGAGCGAACACCGGTATGTGTTCGATCACTTCCCTATCTATTGAGACGACGTGTGACAGTCTCATTGTCACAGGTCAGCTAGAACTATGAGGTTAGTGGCAAGCATGATTATGCAGCCATTAAAAATCACTGAGGGGAAGAGTGTATTTCTTATATGT